CACTACAAATTTAACTAGGTTTAACTTAACTCTGCCCATCACAGTATGCTTGTAGCTCATATTCATAAAGCCAGGACGGTTTGGCACTTCATTTTACCCGTCAACGTATGTTTCTAGATCTTATTAACAAAGGTAGGATGATTTGCCACTTAATTTTAGCTGTTAAAATATGCTTCTAGCTCAGATGAACAAAGGTAGGACGATTTGCCACTTAATTTTAGCTGTTAAAGTATGCTTGTAGGTCACATTCACAAAGGTAGGACGGTTCGCCACTTAAATTCGTGTTGTGCGCATACGCAGAAACAACGGGTAGGATGGTTTGTCAGGTAGGATGGATTCCCAGAACACCTGCTTCAGTTAATCTTAGCTGCCCTTCTTATTACATGTTATAAATTCAGGAACGTTTATGCCATGGTGTGTTTCGATAATAAAACAAGCAATAATACATCAGCCTATTACCATGTAGTGGAGGTCAAAGCGTTTGACAAAGTTGTTCCCGCTCGACTCCGGGGCAGTGGGTGAACAGAATCAAACACACCCAGCAGCAAAGTCATGTGGCTGGTCATGAGGAAGTAAACAGGGAAGAGGAGCTGCAAGGAGGTAAGTACCTTTCTCCAGCAGTGTTGGGGTTTTTAAACGGTACACTCTCGACTCAGACGTCAAAATGTAAAAGGGTAATCACTCACGTGATGTTTGGACCTGTGCACGCGCTCGTGTGTCATCTTCAGCGTAAGATTTAATGAAAGTAGTTAGCAGGTAGGCTACATGCTAACGTTAGCTCAGTGATAACTTATAGTTACAGGTTACAATCATATACTAACTTCGGTTCTGTTTTTGGTCTGTCTCTAAGAAACAGGAACATTGGAAAACCTTAAGGTTTTTAGGTTTTACAAACGCAGACACGTCAAGATTGAAATGTGAGAAAATGATGCTTATGAATGATAATAACATCTCCTCGTCGCAGTCAATTGTTGTAATAATGATGCCAATAGATTGTAATAAGCTCTTTCTGTTGTTTGTGCGACAAATGTCCTGCAGCTTCAGAAAGGCCTCAGAGAGCCTGCGTGTTGTTTTAAGTTGACTTTTTTCACTTTTCCTTTGTCTTTCAGGTGTAGCTACAGTATTTGCTGCAATAAAGCTTATTACACTATCTTCCTCCTCCTCGTCTTCCTCGTCCTCCTGTATCCATTATGGTGGACTTCCTGGCAGACAACAACCTGTGCGGCCAGGCTATCCTCAGGATAGTTTCCAGAGGAAATGCCATCATTGCTGAGCTCCTGCGCCTCTCTGACTTCATCCCTGCAGTTTTTAGACTCAAGGACAAAAGTGACCAGCAGAAATACGGAGACATTATCTGTGACTTTAGCTACTTCAAGGTATGAACTACATCAGGAATTCAAAAGATCCTTTCATTAGCTGGGACCACTTCCTCATTGAGATTTGGCAGGATTTCTAGTAGGCGGTAGGTGGAGTGAATATGAATTAGGGAAAGCCTCAGAGCGGATTGGCATTAGCTCTTGGGCCAGGCATGATCAGAAAATGTATGAAAAAGGATAATCTGATTGTAAAGTGTATTTTAATTCTGCTGCTGTTCACCGCTAACAAAACATGTACTGGTAGAAAGAGGGGAGTTTCACAGGGTTGCCGGTAGGTAGCACACAGTAGTGGCTGCAGTGACTCCAGAGATTGTATGGATATATGCCATGTGTCCGGAGGGGGACACATTGACTATTTGTGAACATTGTCAACTTTGTATGTAAAACTTTATATTCAGCCATGTATTTGACTTTAGTCTTCCTAAAAAGCAAAAGATAATAAAAGCAGTATTATTGCTTTAGTTTCAGCTGTCTTTCGGCATCGTTTGGATTTGCTTTGCATTGTCACACAATGTTGCTTCCTGTTCAGGGTCCTGAGTATTATGAAGGAAAGCTGGAAGCCAAACCGGAGCTTCAGGACTTGGATGAAGAGTTTAGAGAGAACAACATCGAGATTCTGTCAAGGTTCTATCTGGCTTTTGAGAGCGTCCACAAATACATAGTGGATCTTAACAGGTATAATGAGATG